TAATATTTACAAGCAAACTACTGGGTTACTGGAAGAATTGATTCAGTGACCTATCTGTCAGCAGGGCACCAAAATTAAAAAGCAGCCTGGGGAACTGGATGGCATTGGCATTCTCACCCTAATGTTTGCCCACATTTTAAGGAATCACTTAAAACATTAAAGCTGAGTGTGTTCAGAGGCACAAGTGTAAAGGTTTAAGCTACATTTTTATTTGAGATTTTCCCCTTAAAAACATTCAGAACATTGTTTTTATGTAATTGGTGCTCTAATTTTAAATGGCAAATGAGTACAAATTAGTGTTGGGCTCAGCCAATTATAAGCTGTGACCTTGAGCTCATTGCTTTGTATAGCTCAGAGCCTGAAGCCTGTTAAGTGCTGTCAATAACTTTGCTTGTACCAGCAACTCCTTTTCAATCAGTATGTAATCCCTTGTCTATTCTTGGGGATCATAGTCAGAATGAGTTCAAACCACATAAATCAGTTATAATCTTTAACAGGGGGTTCTTCTCCCACCCCCTCTTGGAGAGAGGGGGCAGTAACAAAATTCCAACTTGATGGAGGCTTCACTTCCTATGAGATCATAGAATGATCTTTCCAAGGCACCCAGCAATTTGTCATATGAAAAGTAGCTATGGAAATGAAAATCACAACGGAGGGAATGTGACTAAAAATGAAAACAGGCAGCAGAACGCAAATTCTGCTTCTGAAACAGCTTTGGCATCCATGCCTGTCTTTCTGCCCTCCTGCCCTAGCTCGGTGCCCCGCACCATCTCTGCCAGGGACCCGCCACCACCCCCAGCAGCACTCCTCCTCTATCCCTTCCCCACACGATCGCCGGATTTAGCAGGCTGTAAAGCAGCATGGGCTACAAAACAATGTGTGGTCTAATGCCATCTGCAGAGAACATCTATGGAGCTGTGTTTATACTTAGGGATGTATACAGAAAGCTTCACAGAATAAACCAACAAATATTAAGAACGGTTCTCTAACATGTGATCTGTTCCCTTTATATTTTGGAAATTATGGAAAATTGGGGAAACATAATCATTAATTTTATAATCAGAAAACAAAGCATATAGAGAAAACTGATGGTTACCAAAGGCGAGATGTGTAAAGAGGCCATGGGGATTAAGGAGTGCACGTGCTGTGATGAGCACCAGGTGACATATGGAAGTGTTGAATCACTGTATTGTACACCTGAAACTCATACAACACTGTTAACTAACAGGAATTAAAATAAAAACTTAAAAAAAAAACCCACCATTTTTGGAGAACAAAAAAAAAAAAAGAAAGAAAGAAAGAAAAGAAAAGGGGCACCTGGGTGGCTCAGCCATTAAGCGTCTGCCTTCGGCTCAGGTCATGATCCCAGGGTCCTGGGATCGAGCCCCACATCGGGCTCCCTGTTCCGCAGGAAGCCTGCTTCTCCCTCTCCTACTCCCCCGGCTTGTGTTCCTGCTCTCGCTCTCTCTCTGTCAAATAAATAAACAAAATCTTAAAAAAAAGAAAGAAAGAAAAGAATTGAAGCTACTTTTTAAAGAGAAAAAAGCAAGTATTCCATGGTAATCTACTGCGAACAAGATAAAGTCCAAACTAGAATTTAAGGCCCTCTATCCAAGACCCCAGATTACTTCTCCGATATTTTCTTCTGTACCTCTGGCACATACCCTAAACGGAAAACACACTAGACGGTTTACCCTGAATTCAATCTTCACCATCCAACTTGCAAGCCCTTGCCCATCACGTGCATACAGCCTGCCTCCTGAAGACTTCCTCAAGTGCCTTTTAGAAGCTACCCGCTGGTAAGCCCAGAGAGCATTGATTTCACCTGAATATGTAACGTAAATAATTGTGTTTTTCCTCTATTCCACTAAGCAGTAAGCTCTCCAAAGGCAGGTTGTGCCTTTTCCTCTGGGTACCTGGCTCACTGCTTTGCACCCAAAATAGTCAATAAGTGTTTGCTGAAATAGATGATAGAAGTGAGGAGGAGGGTGCCCCTGGGGCAGTTGCAGAAGACTTTACAGGGATGGGATTTGAGCTGGGTTTAAAGGAAAGGTAATATTTAGACAGAAATGATAGCTGATTACAGTTATCACTGTATGTTAAAAACACAAGGACTTCCTCAAGGGCACTGTTATCTGTCTGATGTAGACTGCTTAATATTACAGAGTAAATTGATCCTAAAGGTTCTCCTTTATTTATTTTTTTAAGATTTTATTTATTTATTTGACAGAGAGAGAGAGAGAGAGTACAAGCAGGGGGAGTAGCAGGGAGAGGGAGAAGCAGGCTCCATCCCAGGACCTGAGCTGAAGGCAGATGCTCAACCGACTGAGCCACCCAGGCACCCCTTAAAGTTCTCCTTTAAATGGGAGATGTACCTTCTTATTTTGCACTAACATTCTTAAGCTACAAGGATACAATATTTACAATTAAAAACTAGTTGTCATTAATAAAATTAAAAGGCAAATGGCAAACTGGGAAAATCTTGACAACATATATAGTAAAAGGTTAATAACTACATATCAACAAGAAAATATGAATGGGTAAGGGGGGAAAAGGCAATTCACAAAAGAACAACTCCAAGTGGACAATAAATAAGCGGGGAAAAGTTTAACATCTTAGTGATAAAATAAATGGAAACTAGAGTGAGCTACAACTTTTCACCTTCCAAACTGACAAATTAAAAGATGCTACTCAATATCATTGAGGGAAAGACAAAGTACTTTCATGGGGCTGTAACTTTTCTGGAAAACAATCTGGAAATAAGTTTCAAGAGTTTTGAAAATAAATCCCTTTGACCTAGTAATTATACTTGTAGGATTCTATCCTAAGGAATTAATCAGCAGAGTGCACAGTTTTATATAAGAGCACCACCATTCATAAGAATTCAAAACTGGAAACAATATAGACTACCAACTATAAGAAAACAAAAAGTGTAATACTACTACATTTATTTGATGCTGTAGTAAAAATCACATATTTTTAAAGGATATTGTCATCGAGGAAAATACAATGTAATATAAAGCGGAAGAAAAAAGATGTAATCGTATGCATTCTGGAAATTGCCTTGGGAAATGGGATTGGGGAAAGGATGGTCTTTCACATTTTACTGTTCTCTTTTTTCTTTGGGTCAGTAATAATGGTATAGTAGTTGCTATACAACCAATAATAATGTGAATGCTTACTGTGGGCCAAGCATTGTTTTAAGTCTCTTGTGTTTATTTTCTCATTTAATCCTCCCAACAACCTGATGAGGTAAGCATTATTATTATCATCCCCACATTACGGGTAAGAAAACTGAGTCACAGAGAGGTCAATCAAGTAGTCCAAGGTAGAGCTATGATTCAAGGGTGCAATTTTGACTCCAGGCTTGTTCTCTTTAACTATGAAGAAATGGTACCTCTGGTTACATACTTGTAGTTTGGCATTTGTAAATTAAGAAACTGATCCCATGGGCGCCTGGGTGGCTCAGTTGGTTAAGCGACTGCCTTCGGCTCAGGTCATGATCCTGGAGTCCCGGGATCGAGTTCCACATCGGGCTCCCTGCTCAGCAGGGAGTCTGCTTCTCCCTCTGACCCCCCACCTCATGTGCGTGCGCTCTCTCTCTCTCTCTCAAATAAATAAATAAAAAACCTAAAAAAAAAGAAAAGAAACTGATCCCGTGTTTTTGCTCTGGTGGTTTACTCAGCCAAAAAGCTTCTTCTCCTACCTAGCTGTGTAAGGACCTGATCTCTTCAAGTCCTTGTATAATTGGCTTGTATAATTTGTATTGTATATAATTGTATAATTGTATAATCAAGTCCTTCATATGAGTCGTACCCTGAACACAGGGTGCAAAATTGCAATCCGCCCCTCCTGTTTTATTTTCTCCATAGTATTGATCTAGCTTATTATACAATTTTCAGTTTCACCATATTATTTCCGTCTCCCTCTGCCCCGCCCCCCCAGCCATGTGATCTCCACTAGGTTACGGGTTTTTATCTGTCTTGCTAAGTGGTGTATTACAGCCTGAAAAGGTACTGGTACAAACTAGTTAGGCAACAAATACTTATGGATTAAATGAAGTTTTTAAAATACAGCATGATTACAATTTCGCTTTCTCATTTTAAAACAAAAACATGTATACACGTGTGTGGGGGGAGAAGAAAAATATTTCGAAATGTTAATGGTGACTTCAAGTGATATTTCTCCTTCTTTGTTTTTCTGTGGTTTTATTTTCAAAATTCCATGTGAAAATGTCCTATTTTATCATGACACAATTGCCTTTTGAAACATCTCTTCTAAACCTCGGGTAACCTACATTGCCATGCGCAGCAAGTTGTCTTTGCTGCAAATGGCAAGAAGCCGTTTTCCTTGTGAAATGCAGTCGACAAAGGGAAAGGTATTGATGGTCTTCAAATAAACGAATGATTGCTTTTAAATAATCTCCCGATACTCTGTGGTGGTGAACTATTCCTTAAGGAAATAAAAATTTTTGCCTCTCCCGGTCGTCCGCGGCAGGCCTGGGGAACACACCCACCTAGCAACCGGGAGCCAGCTGAAGGATGGCACTGCGCCTTTAATTCCCGGGTGGGGGAGGGGGTGGATAATTTCCGCTCCCCCATTCCCTCCGCGGCCCTGGTGGCAGCTGTCACCTGTAAGGCGAGCACCGAGTACGGGGGATGGAGCCTGGCGCCCATTGGACACAATACAAAGGCAGAAACCTACCCCGAAGGCTGGGGGCCCGGCGGGGCGGAGGCGGTGGGCACGCGATGCGGCCCCCGGCACCTTCCTCCGGGAGACACCCGGGCTCCACGGCGCGGGCGTGACCAAGGTCCAGCTTCAGGGACACGCCCGTCCCGCCTCGGTGAAAACGACTGGGTGAGCCTGGCCGAGGAGGACCTCGCTCCCGGAACTCCCCGCTCCGCTCGTCCCAGCGGGCGCGGAGACGTACACCTGCCCCGGCAGCCGGGAACCGAGGGCGGGTGGGGAGGCCTCGGCTCCCCTGCCGGGCGGCACTGACCATGGCGCTGGCCGCCGCCGCCGCCGCCGCCGCCGCCGGGGTGAGCCAGGCGGCGGTGCTGGGCTTCCTGCAGGAGCACGGCGGCCAGGTGCGCAACTCGGATCTGCTGAGCCGCTTCAAGCCCCTGCTGGATGCGGGCGACCCACACGGCCGCGCCGCCCGCAGGGACCGCTTCAAGCAGTTTGTCAACGACGTGGCGGTGGTGAAGGAGCTCGACGGCGTCAAGTTCGTGGTGCTGAAGAAGAAGCTGCGGCTCCGGGAGGCACCAGAGCCCCTGCCCTCGTGCGTCCCCGGCACGCCCGGGGCACCGGCGCTGCCGTCGAAGATCGCCTCCGTCTCACCGGGAGAACCGGCCGGCCCGGGGGCTCCATCCCTGGCCGCGGCGCTGCAGCCGGTGGAACCACGGGAGGACCCGACCCGGCCGTTGGAGCCACAGGACACGCCCGGGGCTCCGGCCTCTGAGCCCACTCAGCCGACCGGGGAGCTGTTGTCAGGTACGGCCCTGCAGTCAGGGGGGCCCTCCGACCCCCAGATTCCAGCCTTTGAGCTAGCCCTGCCCCCCGAGCGACTCTCGGCAGGCGTGGCCCCGCCGTCCAGGTCACCGTCGGTGGAGGCCTTGCCCGAGGCAGGGGCGCCAGCCCCGGAACCTGGACGTGGGGCGACCAAAGAAGCGCCTCCACCCCCTCGGCACTCGCCGCCGCCGAAGCCCTGCATGCTGCCCGTGCGCTGCGTCCCGGGCCCCGCCGCGCTCCGGCTCCGGGCCGAGGAGCAGGGCCTGCGCCGGCAGCTGTCGGAAGAGCCCAGCCCGCGGAGCTCCCCGCTGATGCTGCGGCGGCTGTCGGTGGAAGAGTCTGGCCTGGGCCTCAGCCTGGGCCCGGGCCGCTCCCCGCACCTGAGGCGCCTGTCGCGCGCAGGCCCGCGCCTGCTGAGTCCGGACGCGGAGGAAGTGCCCGCCGCGCCGCCGCCGTCCGTCGTGCCCCTGGAGCCGACCGAGCACGAGTGGCTGGTGCGGGCGGCTGGGGGCTGTTGGACGCACCAGCTGCACGGGCTGCTGCTGCGCGACAGCGGCCTGGCGGCCAAGCGCGACTTCATATCTGGCTTCACGGCCCTGCACTGGGCCGCCAAGAGCGGCGACCGCGAGATGGCGCTGCAGCTGGTGGAGGTCGCGCGGCGCGGGGGCGCGCCGGTGGACGTGAATGCGCGCTCGCATGGCGGCTACACGCCGCTGCACCTGGCGGCTCTGCACGGCCACGAGGACGCCGCCGTGCAGCTGGTGGTGCGCCTGGGCGCGCAGGTGCACGTGCGTGACCACAGCGGGCGGCGCGCCTACCAGTACCTGCCGCCCAGCGCCTCGTACGCGCTGCGCCGCCTCCTCGGCGACCCCTGCCTTCGAGGCTCCACGGAGGCCGACGCCACCGGTGCTGGTGGGGGCACTTTTGCGGCCCGGCGCCCAGTGCAGGTGGCCGCCACCATCCTCAGTTCCACCACCAGCGCGTTCCTGGGTGTCCTGGCCGACGACCTGATGCTCCAGGACTTGGCTCGAGGCATGAGGAAGTCGGGCTCCTTTAGCAAGTTCCTGGGTGCCTCGCCCATGGCTCCACGTAAAAAGACTAAGACCCGCAGTGGCCTGCCGGCTTTTTCAGAGATCTCTCGTCGACCTACTCCGGGGTCCTTGGCTGGTCTGGCGCCCAGCCTGCCCCCTACAACCTGACGGCCCCTTTTGAAGCTCAGCTTGGTTGATGTAACCCGGCCTGCCCCTCACAGTCTGAGCCTGCCCAAAACAGCGGTTCAACACCTCTGGCTCCATCCTGTTTCCAGCTTTGTCCACTGAAGCCTGTTTTACCCCGGTGGGCCTACGCCTCTGGCTTCCTAGCTTCTGCCTGAAGCTTGACCTGTCTCTGGAGATGGGAGTCAAGATCTCAGTGAGAACGTCTATAAAGAACTCCAGAAATCAGGCTTGAACATTGGAGACTCGAATTTTAGGATCAAAGTTAACCCGAAGCCTCTGCATCTACACGCTCCCAAGCCAGAACTAGAGCAAGGATCTCTTTAAACGTTGTGTGCTGCTGGATTGTTTGTCAGCTTTAAGACACCTGGTGGTTTTGTAATTTGATGCTTTTATCCTGTTTTTAAATTAAAATGAGGTAAAACAACTTTCATAATAATCTTTTGAAATTATATTTTTCCATTTTTAGGCAAAATGCTCATTTTCAATCTTTTGCTAAGTATTTTGGAATTCTATTTAAAGAAAAAACAGATCAAGATCTAAAGGAAATTAGTCCCAACCAACAAAACCCTTAAACGTTTATCTACCTCATTTTAGGAGCTCAAGGTTCTAGAGAGACTTGAACACAGAATGTGACCATTGTGAATGTAATTAATTTCAATTGTACTGTGACTGCTCAATATTAGGAAACAAGTGCATCTTGGGAGTAAGAATGATTTAACAGTGAGAGAAAAGAGACATTTTGGCAAATACTTTTAATTTCTGGTTGTCTTTATGACGAAATATAAACAGTGTCTCCGGCACTGGTGGGTGATTATTTTGATTTGGCATGAATATTTAATTTTTTAAGTGTGATTTATTTGTGAATGCACCATTGTGCCATGTTTCTGAATCTGGTTTTCCAGTCTGGCTGAGCCTTTCAATGCAGTAGGTGAATATTCAGAGAAAAACATGTCATAGCATTATACCAGAAAAATAACTGGTTAAGTGGATACACTTAAACAGCAACTATTTTATATGTAAATTCTATTCTATAGAAACAAAAAGTATGTTATATCCACCTTTAAAAGCCATCTGAAAGGAAACAACTTACAGCAAATGCAGAATTCTTTGCTCAGTGACCTTAGAAGGATGGCTTAACTTCTCTGGACCTTTGTTCCTATCTGTAATTGAGAAGGTTTGTAGCTATTTACCAAGAGGTCCCAGGTTCAACATATTGTAATTATAATGACTCTTTCTGTTTTAAAAACGGGGACCCTATTTGCTCAACCAGCCTTTTTAAAATACCTATTGTGTTAATGCTCTGTTTTTGCAAATTATGTTTGCATGTCATTAGTTATATCAAATAGTTTTGTGGCACAAGAGGAGTGTGGCTTCTCCCCCCCCCATATCAGTGAGGCCTCTGACATTATTTAAGGCCATCCTTAATGGAATGTTTTGATTTAAGCAATGAAATAAACAAGTCTCCCATTTTGTTCCTGCTTGTGTGATAATGTACTTCCCTTAAACATTCTCCAGCTCTTGCTACTGTATTTTTCTTATCTTTTTATCTACTTAATTCCTTCAGTTTCTCCTCATCCTCTTCTGCCTCTTCCAGGCATTCCATTATTGAAAGAGTTTGGCTTGATCGGCTAAATGCAGGCTGCATCCACACATGAATATAGCACCCAAAAAAAAATAAAATAACAGCAGATGAATGCAGGCCCTGATCTGACCCTTCCCACCTTCCTTGCCTGGAACTCTAGCTAAGCTGCATAAATTATTTAAAAATGCAAATTAAATCTGCCTCTGCAGAAAAATTGTGGGAGGCAATAATTATAGCAATCTCAGTTGCTGAAGGTCTGGAAGACAGAATAAAATATTAGAGATTTTCCATGGTAAAAGAGAGGCTTGACTGAGACAGGATAACAAAGGTCACAAACACAGGTTATGACCTGCCTTGAGAAAGACAAAATCTAAACCAGCAAAGTCATAATGACAATTACTAATGTCTATTACACACTTAAATCAGAGGAGGGTGAAACTGCCAGAAGAACCCTTGTGTTTCAGAAGCATGCTACAAGCCTTCTGAGTGAAATAAAACATTTGGCAAGAGTTTAGGATCAATAAACTTAAAACTTAGGTGTTAGAAACCACCGTTTTTTCCTTGCAGGTCAAGACTTTCTGAAACTATAAGTCAGTAGGAAATTATACTTTCATATGCATATGGAAACTTTTCAAGAACCATTTATTGCCTAACAGGAGGTACACCTGTGAGAGGTATTTTCAACAAATGACCAAAAAAAAAAAAAAGTTGCTTATAAATTAAGGCAAATTAGTTGGCTAGAATTGTCACAGGGAAGAGAATCACTCCTTTTAATGGGAGAGAAGTTAACTGTTATATAGATGTTTATGAGTCATCCAGAGCAAGCTTTGAAATAAAGGTTTATACTGCCTTTAAAGGAGGTTGGTTGGAGGTTATTCTAGAACGTGTCTCACTTACCTAATGGAGACCAGGATATGGGTGATGCACATACAGCCTTTGTTAATGAAGCACCAGGAGCAGTTTTAATCACTGTGCAGGTATTAATCTCAACCTTACAAGGTATGTCCTGTTAGTATCTTGAACTTAAAGTGAGGAAACAGAAGCCTCGAGAAACTGTAAGTAACTTGTCCAGGCTTCACAGCTATAACTGTCAGAGCTGGGATGGCCTCCTGGTGCTCTTTTCCATCACAGTGTCCTGCTGCAGAAAAGCAAGGTGGTCTCACCTCAGCCCTTACTCATCTGTTGACCTTAGGTAAGTCACCCAGTTCTCCAAGCTCTATCTCCCTCCTCTATGGGCCGTAAGACTGGCAGTATCTATCCTACAGGCTGTGAGGAGGGTGGAGCAAAGTGAAGTAGGTAAAGCTGCTTGGGAACTGCAATACCATCTTGAAATATTACCAGGGGTGCCCAGTTAGTCTCACAGGAGTATCTGGCTGCATTCCAAAACCAAATAGCTCTCATTTGTGGCTTTGCTTTACAAGATCACCATTCTTTAACCATGTTCGTATTTGTATACATAAATAACAATGGACTCGGATGGGAAAAACGTATATTCCCACCAAAGGGAGATTATCTCACATTCTGTATGATATCACTTTAGTTGAAAATAGACATCACAATGTCTTTCTTTTTTTTTAAGATTTTATTTATTTATTTGAAAGAGAATGAGAGAGAGCACATGAGAGGGGGGAGGGTCAGAGGGAGAAGCAGACTCCCCACCGAGCAGGGAGCCAGATGCGGGACTCGATGCCGGGACTCCAGGACCATGACCTGAGCCGAAGGCAGTCGCTTAACCAATCGAGCCACCCAGGCGCCCCAATGTCTTTCTTAATGCACATTCCCGTAGCATCCCTACCCCTGTCTTCCAGACCTAATCAGATGTCATCCAGCCAGCTGGACCCGCTCAGAAACCATATCCTTCCCCTTTTTTTGGCCTTTTCCTAGAAGACATTATTTGGCCTTTTAAAATAGTTTGATAAATAGACTTTTGATTGCTCTCCAGATTGCTTTTTGCCTTGAACCTCTTGTCCTGGCCTTACCCTTCCAGAACTGCCACACCTCTGGACTTGAATCTGTGAAGCACTGGTGGCCTCAGGTGTTTCTGCAGGGAAGTAGAAAAAAAGGAAGAGACAAAGAAACGAGGGTGAGGGTGTGTGTGTGTGTGTGTGTGTGTGTGTGTGTGTGGTGGGGATATGTCCAGACGTCGCCTCCGGGGAGGCGGGGGGGGGTGGATCTTCCTAGGGGTAAGGTGGCGCTGATTTAAGTTTCAACGACAACAGGTAAACACCCACGCTGCCGGTCCAACCCGCAGCCAGGCTGGGACCGTAACACGGCGGGGGGTCTCGGAGAGGATTGCTTTAAGAGCAGTTGCCGGCCCCCACCTCTTCCTTCTGCTCCCACATTCCCCTTTCATCTCTTCCCTCTGCGGTGCTCCACCACATTTGACCTACATTTCCACCCAAGCTCCTGATTTACATGTGAATGAACAGCACCGCGATTTGTTCCTGCGAGGATCCCGGAGGTTTACAGCCGCCGCTCGCGGAGGGACGTGGTGTGCCGAGCAGGCTGTTCCAGACAGAACGCCGCTTCCCTATTCGGTTTGCAATTTAGAGTCTGAAGGTAAAAAGTACACTAATTAAATCCATATTAGGAGGAGCAGCGGGGGCGAGACGAGGCGAGCGCGGGAGGCGGCCGCGGTGCTGCCTGTTGCCTAGCAACAACGCCAGCAGAAGCCGGCCCTCTGCAAAAAGCCCGGGGACAAGCGCCGCAGGAGGCGGGGCTGCGGGCGGAACGAGCGGGGGTGGGCGCTGGCGGCTTGAGGAGGTGGGGGTGCAGAAACCCCAACAGAGACCCATGAAACCCTCTTTTCCACCCCGGGAGACTAAATAAGGCTCCTTTTGATACTGATACTCGAGATCAACATCCCCGGCTTCCCTCCTGCCCACTTCTCATTGACCAACAACTTTCCAACCAAGGCCTGGGGGCAAAGGAAAGCAAGCCAGCTTCCCCGCGGCCGGCTGGCCAGAATTTCTTTCCAATAGAAGCAAAAAGGCTCAGATCCAGCCTTCAGACTTAAAGAGCACTGCTCTGCGGAGAAGGCAAAGCCCGGGTGCTTAGCCCAGAGGGCCTACTGCCGGGGGAGGAGGCTACGGTGAAGGGCAGGTAGGCCTTCATCCCAGGGCGAACAGTGCCCCCTGCTGGCAGCATCCTGGCGGGTGGAATTCACTGGGCTTCTGGCACCTGCCCACACACCACCACAAAAAGTCTTAGTCTGGGGGCGCCTGGGTGGCTCAGTGGGTTAAGGTCTGCCTTCGGCTCAGGTCATGATCTTAGGGTCCTGGAATCCAGCCTCTTGTGGGGCTCCCTGCTCAGGGGGGAGTCTGCTTCTCCCTCTCCTTCTGCCCCTCCCTGTGCTCTCTCAAATAAAGATCTTTTTTTTAAAAAAAAAAGTCTGTGGTGCCAATACTAAACACCTGTGGTGCTCATTCTTGCACTCTGACGGAATAACAGTGTGGAAGGGACATAAAATGGGGCAGGAAGAACACAGAGGCAAGATGAAAGGATGGGTGAAGGGGGTGCGGCCCTACGCTCCCCATCTGGTAAGGACAAGCACAGGAGCCTCATAAGTCCCTGTGGAAAAACCCAGGACAGAACCGAAGTGCAGTTTAATGGGACCATGGCAGACTGCTCCTCAAGCCCATCCCGGGCTGGAAGTGCTTCTTCTGAGCAGTATACAATTTCCATTGGCCTAACTGATGACTGTTAAGTGTTTTCCCAAGAATACCACATTAGGAGGTTGCAGAGGGTGCTGTACAGGGCAAAAGGCAGAAATAAATTTATTCCATCCAGACTATCTCAAAGCGAGCTGCCCTGCTAGGCTGAGGACTTTGGAGCAGAGGCCCCACCCACAGCGTTCAAAGGAGAGAAGCAAAGCACAATGTTAGAACCCATAACTGTTTCAGCAGGAGCCCCATATGTTTTTCATAAAGAGGCACAATGTTAGCATTGTTCTGTGCTCAATAGTCCAACTGTTATAACTAATGCTTTTGGTATGAATACAACCATTTAAAATTCCCAACCAGTTGCACTTAGTGACAATACACATCGGAAAACAAGCCCAGAAGCAGAGATTTCTCACTTTGGGGTCAGTTGGCTTTAAATACACATACACATGCCTTTTAATGTGCCCAACTTCCAAAAAATACACTCAACATTTGCATGAACAATGTTCTTGGCCCTGGCGTGTGCAGCTGCAAATACTAAAGCACATTTTCACATGTATATTTGAGAACTTAACATTGACTCTGTGCACACAGGGCTGATGCACAAACAGAGGGGAGTGTGTGTCCTCCGTTTCACTCCACACCAGCCCCTAACTCCCCACTCCCAGCCCCGGTTCACCCCCAGCTTAGCCTCTCTAGCACACAAGCAGAGCTGCCTCTCCGGGTCCTCAGCCCCCCTATTCTCGGTCTCCAGGTTTCCCAATGCCTCACCTTCAGCTCCCATGCCCAACAGCCCTCCTCAAGCCTGGCGGATCCAGTAGGGCTTCCAAGGAGAGCTGGATAAACTCACTTCTGAGTCTTGGAATAAATGTCCCTGAATTCCTCAAGGTTTTTAGGCAGCAAAGCAAATGAACCTATTTTGCGTATGGGGAAATTCCCTATCCCTTGAGTCTTGAAGGGAAGCAGTTACCCCCACTTCTACTTTTGAGGTTGGAGGCTTGGGTAAAAACCAGCAAAGGAGACCTGGGGTCGGCCAGTCAGGCCCAGGCTTTTGCGGTGGTGATGGAGTCACCGGAACCGTAGGGATTACTGGTGCCAGTGGAGCCGGAAGGCCTGGCGTCCCCTTGGTCCCTCCTGGCTTCAAGCCTGTATCCCGGTCTTCCTAGGGATTCCCAGACCTGATCTGAGGTCCTCCAGCACCTTCCTCTTCTGTCCATTGTCTGTAAACAAGATTTGTCCCCCAAGCTAGGCTCCAGGTAACACACACACTCCTCACACCAATTATCATTAAGAAAGAAAAGAAAAAAGAGACCATTTTGCATATTAAGTTGAAATGCTCCTCTGATTTGTCTCCTCTCCCTCCCACCAACCCAGACAGAGCCTCTCTCCTCACAAAAAGGGGGGGAATACTGCAGTTTTAAAAATCCATAAATTAATTACCAAATAATCCACACGACGTGGGTAAGCCTACATGCAAACACTTAGTATGCTCCCGGCAAGGGAAAAGCACCAAGTCAACCAGCGTCACGCCCCGTGATGTGGGAGCGGGGCAGAGGCAGTGCTCCCCACCCCCACCGCCTGTAATTAGAGGAGGGGCGGGAGGAAGGGCGGTTTATCTGGAAGATGGGTCTCTGGGGGCCAGGCCAGCCTGGGGGGCAGGGGACGAGGGCCCAGGTCGCTCCTGACGCCGTCCAGTTGGTCCTGAAGGAGCCGGACCCGCTCGTCCAGGCTGCGCCGCTGGGCCAGGACGGCCGCCTTGCCGGCCAGCAGGGCGCGATAGGCGCTCAGCTGCTCGGCGGGCAGGGCGCGCACCAGCACCTCGCGCAGGGCCCGCTCGCGCCGCGCCACGTGTTCCTTCAGCTCCTTGGCGTCTTCCTGCTGCCGCTGCAGGAGCCCGAGTCGCCGCAGCAGAGAGGCCTGCAGCGGCGGGGAGAGCGCGCCGTGAGCAGGGCGAGGGGGCCGCCGATCCCGGAACCGTCCCAGCCCGAGCCCGAGCCCGCGCCCTCCCCAGCCCCGACCCCGGTCACCTGCTCGTCCGGGTCGCTGTCTGCGCCCGCCCGGGCCAGGGCGCGCCGCACGCGGGCCAGGCGACAGCCCAGCAGCAGCAGCAGGCCAAGCACGCGCTCTAGGTCGGCCATGAACCTGCTGAACCGCTCTCGGTCGCGGGGAGCACAGGCCTGGCCCACCGCGGCCTCCAGAGCAGCCCCGCGCCTGGCCCAAGCCTGGGCCGCCCCGTGCAGCTGCTCCTGCTCGGCCTGAAGGTTCCGCAGCATCTTTTGGAGGAGGTCAGCTAGCTCCATCTGCAGGGAAGGCGTGGGTACTTAAGGGTGAGGCCGGACCCTGACTCCTTGGCCCATACTCTGGGCTCTTGCCACACACCCCATCTCCACCAGCCCCTCCGCACTCACTTTCTTGGCTTGGATGCTGTTATTTGGATCAGGGAGACCCTGGCCACAGGCCTGGTCAGGCACAGGGTAGGTGGTATGGTTTCCAAATCTTGTCTCCTCCTGACAAGTTGGCAGGAACTGGCTGGAGCTAAATAGATAGATAGAACCTGGGGACAAAGCCAGAGCTCCCTGGGTTGTCCTGCCCCAGACTGCAGGGACTTAGAATCCCCTGAGTCCCTGGTGCCCCTCACTCACCCTGGCTCAGGACTACCACCAGCCTCCTTTCCAGCCTCCTCACAGGCTGGCCTCATTGCAGCCCAGACCTCTGCTAAAGGAATCAGCCCATCTAGCAGGTCCAGGGGTGGGTCTGGGCTGGGACAGGAAGTGAGAGTGTCACTCATAGAGGGATCCAGTCTGGCCAGTTCCTGAACCAGCTCCTCAAGGCGAGGACTGGGCCATGTTGGCCTGGAACCAGGCTGGCCAGTGCCCCAAGCCAGGGCAGTATGGCCAGGAGCACCTGGGGTATTGTTGCTTGGAGGTCCCAGGGCATCAACTGGGAGAGGTTTGAGAGAGTCACTCTCTGCAGCTGCAAATGAGTCAATGGTCAGCCGTCCATTGGGGTCAAAGGTTGCGATGTCACCATTTGCAGTCCTGAGGGTGCTATAGTTTATGGTCTTAGAGACACCCATAGAACCATTTATCCTCTGCCAGCAGTCATCTGCCCCTGCAGTCTCTGGGTGCTCATGGAGGGGGTGCTCCAGAGGGACTGTAGCCTGGTCAGCCCTCTGGCCTGAGCCAGTTCCATACTGCTGGTCAGAGACATGGACACTGGAAGTGGGAGAGACACTGAATCAGAAAAAGCTCTGTCCAAAGACAAGCAGTGGCCTCCAAGGGCCACTTGTCCCCATCCCCACCAGCCAGGCTCCCAGGCTCCAGCGGGCTCCCGGTCCCTCTAGCATTTTGTTGATATGTGTGGGAAAGGGATGTCTCACTCTGCTTGGAAGCAAGAGGCAACTCACCTGAGTGGGTTTCCTGGGGGGGCATGGGTGTCTGGAGGTGATCTCCTTCTGTCCAGGGGGACTTCTTCCAGGAAAACCTCATCATCTGGAAGGGATGGGAGCCCAGCAGCCCCCATACATGTCTCTAAGACCCTCGGTTCCCAGCCAACAGGACTGCTCTGGGGATACTCTGCAGGACACACCACTGCGGCTTCCTTTTGAGTCAGGAACCTGGAGGAAGGCACCCCACACTGACCACAGTGACCAGGAAGGAAGCTCTTGGTGCTGCACCAGAGACACAATGGGGTGGGGTGGGTATAGGGGGGACCATAGGGGATGAAGTTTGCAAAAGACAGAATCAGAAAGCTCAAACTGAGGGGAGGGGAGGGGCCGTCTCTTTCTTGCATAAGAGCTATGAAAACTGCTTTTCTCCAACTTGCAGTCCCCCAGTGGTCCATGTCTCTCACCTGGCAAGTTTGGTCTGAAACAATGGTCTGGGGGTTTCTGCTCCTTGAGGAACAGCCTGGAAAGGCAAACAGTTGCTTGAAATGTAGCTCAAGTTTTCAGTCTCCCAGATGTCCCCCACCCCAAGCCTGCAGCCCCTCTCTTCCACACCTGGACAAGGGGCATGACCCCTCCTGGACCTCCCCAGGGAGCCAAGACTTCCCCTGAAGCGCTCCGACTCCGACTCCGACTGGAAGGTCTATAGGCGTCACCGAGCTTCAGGGACCGAGGTTCTGGGTCCTCTACGCCCCGGGGCTGGGTTTCAGGCGGCCATCTGTTCTGGTGACCTTCGAATTCCGCCAGCACCCTACGCTCCTGGGGCTCGGGCCTGGCAATGCCAGAACTGGAGCCGGGCTCACTCGAGCATTCCCCTGCAGATCCACCGCCCCGACCCACGCAGTCTAGCTTCCCTGGTTCCGAGAAGCACCACTTCCGCTGCTGGGTGGCTAGGCGCCCCCGGCCAACGGTTCCCCTCGAGGGAGCCCCGGGCCGCGCCGGCTCCACTTCCCCGCCGCCCGGGTGGCTGAGCGAGGCGGAGCGCGGGTGCGCCGCGGGGGGCCGCGCGGGGGCCGCGGGCCGCAGTCGGGCGGGCAGGCTCATGCGGAGCTCCTTGCGCTGGAAAGACGTCTCCCGGAGCACTCGCCGCTGGGCGCCCTGCAGCCGCTGGCGGTAGGCGGCCCGCGAGGCCGGCGGGCTGGGCGGCTCGACTGCCCGCGCCGCCGTCTCCGCCTCCGCCTCCGCCTCGGCCGCCAGCGCAAACAGCAGCGGGGTGGCCTGCCGGCTGAGCGGCCCCGGCGTCCCCCGGCCCTCCGGCGGCCGCGGCCCACTGCGCGCGGCGGCCGCGGGCCGGGGCTGCGGGGACGTGCGAAGGCCGCTGGCGGGGGCCGGGCCGCCCCACACCACGCGCACGTAGTCCCAGTCCAGGTAAGGGAGGAGGTCGGTCCCAGGCGACGGCGTGGCCGGCTCGGGAGCGCCAGAGGCCGCGGAGAAAGAGCTGTAGGCCGAGTCGGCGCGCGCGGACAGCCGCCGCAGGTCCAGGCTGCGAGTGGACGAGGCTGGGGAGGCGCGGTCGCCCCCAGGCGCCGGGGCCTCCATGGCTGCGCAGGTGAGGCCTGAGGCCAGCTCCGCGGGGCCTGAAAGAGCACAGACGGCGGGGCGGGTGGGAGGGGGGAGCCCCGGTTCAGGCTGGCCCCTCCAACACGGCACGGACAGCCAGGGGCTGACACATCCCCTCCCTGGTTACACGATTTTTAGCGCTGCCACCTCCCGGGTCGGGGATGACAGAGGTAGGGCCAGCCCCTGGGAGCAACTCTGGAGTTTGAGGGCGTCAGCTATTCCCCTTAGCTCAGGGGAAGGAGCTGGCAACTTAGCCCACTACCTCCTGAGGCTCTCCAGGCTGGCAGCACCCCCCGCCCCCCGCCTCCACCCTGGCACCTCCTGGAGCAGTGAGATTGTACCCATACTCCTTCCCTCCCCAACCCAGTCCCACCCTGGCGGCTTCCTGGCGGCTTTGTTAGCTTCTCCATGTGATCTTTCCCTAATAAACAATGGTCAAAAACGTTCTGAGATCACAGAGGAGCCGAGAAAGGAGGGGGCAAGACCCAGGTCAGGGGGCAGGGGCAGCCTCATAGCCTTAACCCTCCTTTCCCCCCCGTCAGTTATGTTCCAGGTGCTTTATATAAATATTTATCTTAATCCTCACAAGTGCTATCTGCATTTTACAGATGAGGACACTGGAGTTAAGGGGGAAATGATTCGCCCAGGGGCACATAGCCGGTAAGAAGCAGAACCCTGTCTGGAATCTGTGCCTGCCTCCAAGCTTACTGCAGGCAGAATCAATTTCCTAGAAGCAAACCCTGCTGAAAACCAGTTTACCTCCATCACCCCCCCCCCAAAAAAAAACTGCCAGAAGCCTCCAGCAAAGCTAAACTCCACTGTGGGAAAGTCACCCCCACCTGCTCTCAGAATACTAGCAGATACCGCAACAATATGGTCTCTGCTTTGCAGCCTCACACCCCCACCTTTGTCCTGCTACTCTTGCTCCTCCTACTGGACCCAGCTTAGAGGTCTCCTGACCTTTTGGAAACCCCTACAGTGTCCTGAGCTTCCCCACCAAACACAGTACTCAGTCACCCTGCAGCGTAATTGTTGGCTTGCCTGTGATTCCCTCTTCCCATTCCCACCCCGAACTTCCTGAGAACAGGCCCTCTACTTACTAATCTCTGTACCCTCAGTGCCTGGCACGTAGTTGATGTTAAAAAAATATTTGTGGAATGGCAAGGAAAGGAGCAAACTTGGCAATGAGTGGATGGGGGGGTTGGCTTTGGTGGAGAAGGAAGAGGGCTCCTTTGCTTCTGCCCACTCTTCTCTCCCTATTTGTCTTTTCTGGTGAAGGGGACAGAATGAAGGAGGCAGCTGACACGGTGGACACTGTCCAGGTTACTCATGCATTATTAGGAACCATAAGAGCAGGCAAGCACAGGTGGAGCAGAACAGGCCAGAAATCAGTACCTCCCCAGAGCCAAGAGGGGAGCAAGGCGAGTGAGGCGAGGAGCTGGGTGGGTATTCATGGGTAAAGGGCAAGAGCAGCTGTAAGTCTTAGGAAGCTGGGGCTCCTAATGGGCGATGGGGACTCTGGGGAGGTGGGAGGGCTTGCTTTCTCTGAGCTGGCTTGGGGAGGGGTGCAGAGGAGGGTGACCGGCAGCTGGGGTGGGAACTGAAAAGCAGGTTCATTTAAGCCTCCTAAATACTATTTGGAACTCAGAGTCACCCTCCACCCCCTTCCCCAAGGCTTCAGATGCTACAGATTGCAGGTCAGGGGAGGGAGGGGAGGTTAGTGGTGTGAAGATATGGTGTTTCCTAAAAGGAAGAGGCAGTATCTGCAATATTCTCAGGAGGGGCTCTCAGCTGATCTGGAACCAGCACATCTTGACAGTGCCTACTGGAGGTATCTTTATGCCCATTAACACCAGCCCTGCACGTTGGTCCTCACACTCAGGTTTGAGGACCTCTTTCACCGAGTGTTTCTACTCTCTGGACTTGAAGACGACAAGAAGCAATTCTGAGTAGCAGCTCCTGGGAGGACAGTCACCTCCTCTAGGAAACCCGCCCTAGGCACCCAGGCACTAACCCTCTCTCTTCCTAGTCTGAGCCCACCTTGGGAGCTTTGTTTTCCCTGATGCATGCCACCCATGCCTGCCCATTGTTGCCTTCCAGCATCTACAGATACCCGCGACTGTTCACGTACAAAGAAGTTTCCTTGAAAATTGTATCTGTGAGTTACTGTGTTCACAAAGGATTCTGAGTCACCAAATAAAAACAGCTTAATGGATAATAAAACTGTGTGTACATATGTTTGTCGTTTGCCCCTAACTTAAGGATACTTTTGCAGTGGTGGCCTCAGTAGGCCCATAACCATGCAGATGCTCACACTGTGCCTTTTGCAGAACCTGCTACTCTAGGTGGGTGCAGCTCCTTTAGCGTGTTTTGGGGCCTCAATACAAAGAGCAAGGAGTTAGCGCACTTGTCTGGCTGCAGGGAGCCTCTCGCAGTCCAGCCAGCCATTGTGGCGACACCCCCGGAGCCCTGGCGTCAGCATTGCTGTCAGCAGTGGGCTGGGCTACAGGGCCAGTGCCTACATAGAACTGAGGTCCAGAGGCTAGAGCTTAAGGAGCTCTTCAGGCCTTTGGCCAAGCCTTGCCAGAGCAGGGGGAACAGCATGGAATCCCTGCTGGAAAACGGCCAGATTGGGGTTGGGCAGTAGGGCGGGGGGGGGGGGGGCTCACATATGCTTGTCATCTGAACGAAAGAGCAAGAGAGGAAAGGACACAAAGATGACTGCAGTGTTCAGAGCCGGAGGCCTGGGAGGTAGAGGCACCAGTCTCTGGAAGGAGGAAGCGGAGATGAGAACTGGCCCAGGGGCCGGTGCTCATTCAGTCTGGGGCCTGTAGGCTTTGCAGTGTTTGTGGCAAGTCTGGGAAGCTGGGAAGTTGGGTTATGGGTCTAGACCTCAGCAGAGAGGTCTAGGCAAGCAGGCTGACTCCGGTTTTTAGTTAGAGGTTGTTGGGGAAATCGATGAAGACAGCTTGGGGCTGGTAAAACCACACCAAGACAGCGGGAGCAGATCCAGGTGAGGTGACCAGAAAAGCAGACAACCTCGAAAGCTCAACAAAGATCAGGAATTAAAGCATACTCTCTCAAAGGCCACCTCACATCTGACCTCTCTGGAGAGGTTGTCCACGGCGCCCCTCTCCGATGGTCTTCCCTCAGTGGCGTGCTCATTGTGGGGGCGCTGCCTGCACGGCAGTGACCCTGCCACACGGAGCTTCGGGGTCCTGGGCCGCGTCTTCAGTGTCAGCACCCCAGACTAGCCCGGCCAGGCCGCATGCGGGGAGGTTGCGCGGCCCTCCCAGTCCCCCTGCGGGCCCTTCGTCCCGGTCAGTCCACACGGACGGTGCAGCCCCCGCAGCCTCCGCTCTGCGTCGCTCTAGCCCCGCTGTAGTCCCCAGAGACGGGAGCTCGGTGCCGCGCCGGGCGCGCAGAAAAGGCGGGGTGCTGGCTGCGCCCGGGGACAGGAGGCCGCGGCCGTGGGCGGACCACATACCTGGGGCTTCAAGCTCTTGTAGGTCGAGGCGGGAGAGAGGCACTAGCCCGGCGACCGCAGGGGGCGGCAGAGTCACGCGGTGTGGCGCGACAGCGGGACTCCGGGGACGCCGGGGGAGTGGATGGCCGCTGGCCGGCGCATTTCGGGGCCTTTCCTGTTGGGTTCACCGTCGGGGAAGGAGGACTCAGACGCGTGAGGGGACAGCGCGAGCTTGGGCGCGGGGGGCCCCGCGTTCTCCGGCGGCTCGGCGGGCGCGGGGCGGGAGCGGGGTGTCGCGGAGAGAGACCCCACCGCGTGCGCGGGCCACACGGCGCGCTGCCCCGACAGCCCCCGCCGCTCGGCGAAGAGTTCCTGCACGCAAGGGCCCGACTCGACCCGCGCCCGCCAGACTAGGCGCGAGGCCGAACACCCGGAGGAACCACGCGCCGGCTGCTCCGCGGCGCCCCACCCCCCACCCCCTACCGCTCCCGGCCGCGGGGCTCGCCCTGCCCCCCTCCGGGAAGAGCGATCCCGCCACCAGCCCCGCCACCCGCCCCGCCGCCCGGCCCCGCAGCATACCTGAACTCCAGCCCGAGACACGCTCCTGGGCGCCGGCAGCCGCGCGGTGACATCAGAGCCCCGCGGCTCCGGCTCCCGACCCCACCTCCCGGCTCCGGCCGCCGCGGGGGAGGTGCCACGTCCGGCCACGGGGGGCGGGAGCGCGGAGTGGCGGCGCTGCCCCGGGGATCGCCCGCGCCTCGCCGCCCCCCCGCCCCCGCCCCGTGGTGGCCGCTCTCCCGCCTTAGCCCCGGGCCCAGGAGGTGGACACTCGTTCTCCCGCCGGACGCCGGACGCCCGCCTCCCGCTCGGGGCGAGAGGAGGAGGAGGAAGGGCGACCACGGCACTCGCCCGCCCGCCCGCCTCCAGCGCCGCCTGACCGGGCGTGTCTTCAGCTCCCGCGGTGCGCGGGCTCGGGGCCCCGGGGGTCCCGACAGCCCCCTCGGTGGGGAAGCCCTGGCCCGGCCCCAAGGGCTCCAGAGGGCCAAGTAAAGGGAGTGTGGCCGAGTAAACGGAGGCGCCTGGGGCTCGTGCCTGTTCCCGTCCCTCTGAGTACAGTTCAGATTAAGTCACTCCTTGACCAACTCTCCCTCAGATCCTCCATTTCCAAAACTCTTCCAGCTCCTTAACTCCCTCTGTGGGCTCTTATCTCCCATTTTTGCCCACCCCACCCTCCTTTTCTCCATTTCTCCCACTATCCCGCATCGTCTAGGCCCTTCTGGCCAGCCCCCTGAACCACAGTGGGCTCATTGTGTATCCACTCCTGCTGCCTTCAGTGGGTCCGTTAGGTGCTGCACGTATGCACATCCCCTATGGCTGGGATAGGATTCACTCGAGCCTGGGAGTCTGGCTCTCAAGGTCTTTGCCTTCGGGGTTCTCCAGACTTCAGAGAATGCTCTAAATTCATCTGCCACTGTGCTTTCCTCCCTGTCATGTCCTCAGCCTTCCCTGCCCCGACTTCACAAACCTCTATCCTCTGAATATACTGGCTCCACCAAGAAATGCTCCATCCCCAGAAGGGACTGTGGGGCCCTTTGCAGAGCCCTTTCAGTTCTCCAGTTCCTCTGCTCCTGGTGTGGGCATAAAAAGATTTTTTTGAGAGAGAGAGAAGGGTGGCGGTGGAGGGGGAGGAGAGAAAGAATCTTAACCAGGCTCCACACGAGAATGGAGCCCAACAGGGTGCTCGATCTCACAACCCTGAGATCAGGACCTGACCTAAAATCAAGAGTCTGACGCTTAACCTACTGATAGACCCCGGCACCCCTGCAACTTGATTTTTTTATATTGAAGTTATATCTTGGAGCTCTTTCACTATCTGTACATAGAGCTGTGTCATTCTTTTCAATAGGTGCATAGTTACCCATTACATGGGCATAAATAAATTGGGTTATTGACGGACGCTTAGGTAAACCCTGTATTTTACTATTAGTAATTTTGTAATGAATACCCCTGGACATATATCTTTGCTCACATATGTTTGTAGGATAAATTCCTAAAAGATGAATTGGAAGTGGATCCTCCCAGCCACCCCAGCTGACACCATACAGAACAGAGAAGAACTACTCAACCTAGCCTTTCCTCAATTTCTGACCCTAAAAATCACAAGCAAAATAATTCTTAATGTAGTCATTCTGTTTTGGAGTAGTACACAGTAATAGATAAATGTAACAAGCTATGTAAGTTTTCGATTTTGGTTGATATTGTTAAATTTCTTACAAAGAGGTTGTACCAATTTACATTTCTATCAATGTAAGAGAGTGACCATTTTCCTACATCCTCACTAATACAAAGTATTATCAAAATTTGATACCTGCAATCTGAAAGGCAAAAATAGTATCTCACTGCTTTAATTTACATTTTTAATAAACGAAATTGTACATCATTTTGTCTATTTAAAAGCCATTTGTATTCACTTTGGCAATTTTGTTGATTCCCTTTGCCCATTTTTCTATTTGATTATTGGTCTTTTCTTATTGATTTGTAAGATCTCTTTATATATTAAGGTAATTAACTTTTTTTTCCTTATGTGTGGCAAATATTTTCCCAAGGTTGTGTCTTTTGACTTTGTGGTGGCAATAAATCTATAGTCCCTGGCTGAATCAACAGATTTATCTTTCTTTTAGACAGCAGCTACATAGCTGTCATAATCAGAGATAGTCATGTATTGGTTAAAATACAGTAGAGGCTAGGGACGCTTGGGTGGCTCGGTTGGTTAAGCGACTGCCTTCAGCTCAGGTCATGATCCTGGAGTCCCGGGATCGAGTCCCGCATCGGGCTCCCTGCTCACCAGGGAGTCTGCTTCTCCCTCTGACCCTCTTCCCTCTCGTGCTCTCTATCTCTCATTCTCTCTCTCTCAAATAAATAAATAAAATCTTAAAAAAAAATACAGTAGAGGCTAGAAAGCTTTCAACAAAATCATGTTGTCTATTTTTAGAAATCCAACAAAGCATGAATCATTGTTTATACACAAATCTCTACTTAAGTTGTAAATGTTCCTTTACAACAAGTTTGTTTGCTTTCTAATTTTGCAATGAATTCAACATACTTGTTTAAAGATAGCACTTCACAGGAAGACAGCCACTAGAATCAAGTGCTTAGAGAATGGAGCTCACTCTCTCCTATGGGGGCTTCTGACAGGTAAGGCCTCTGGGCAAGAGTGGGTAGGGACTGGCTGTCATGGGATTAAACAAAAGTTCCCTTTCAGATCAGCAGTCCTTGGGAAGGAACGTTGGGCTGTCACATTCCTATCGAGTACACACGTATCACCTTTTCCCTACAGACAGTGGATGATATCTCAACCTCTGTTTGCTATAACCATAATAATTTGGCTTTTCTCCTCTAGCCTGGCCCCAAGCCTCAGGCCTGGGACCATTCCATCTTCCTGGTCTACCTTCGTTCAGATGTTACCTACATACCCTTGGACAAGAGAGGTTAAATGAGACAGATGGACAGAAGCCTCTCTTCTTTTCCTGCCCCAGTGGACCCAGGACAGGTAAGTGGGGGTCAAGTGAGAATTTCTATTTTGCTCTTCTGGTCTCCTGGGACCCAGATGAAAAGTGTCAGCTAAGCTTCATGTTGGTTTTCAAGAATATAAACTCAGACTCTGAACAAGACCCCCAAAGGCATTGCCCAGAAAGGACAACAGCTGGCTCAAGCCCAGGAATGGCCAAACTGCCTTTTCTGTGCTCGGGCCCTAACAAAGTAATGAGATACTCTCCAAAAGGCCCTCTCCTAAAAGTGCACTCTGCTTGCCAAGAAGTCACCTGGTCAGCATTTTTAAGGGGAAGGCAATCCAATTCTAGAGCTCTGGGCCCAGAGCTGCACACAAAAGCCGTGTGCTGGCCTGGGGGCAGGACTGGGTCAGAGCATGCCACGTGCCTGTGGGATGAATTGTGGTCGTGGTTGGCTCTGGAAGCAGATCGTGCAGATATTTGACATTCTGGTAGGAAATATTGATTTTAACTGATGTATCTGATCAGTTACTCACACAAAGGAGACTTCGCCCTAAAACCTGGGCGTGCCTATGTCCAGCGTCCATTACGGTCCCTCCATTTTCAGGACCCTGCCAGGGGTGAATGTGACACACCCTCTCTAGCCCACTCTTTGTACTTCAAGAGAAGGATCAGGTTAGGGGAAAAAAAAAAAGAGAAAAGAAAAGAAAAACCAAGGTACGAAGTTACTTTTGACTTTCCTAGCCAATCAGCTAACAAGATCAAGGGGGAAGATACTTATTTATTGGGTGACGCCAAAGAAATTCTGGGGTTCAATAGCAACTAACAGTAATTGCCTGGAGGAAGCAGATGTGGATTCAGAGACAGGCTTATTGGCCACCCTATGACTTCGCACCACAGAACAGGGATGTGTTCTCCAATTCATGTGTCCCAGGTATAGGAAAAGCAGCGTAGTGGGAAGAAGAGTGTATGTTCACAGCCTGGAAGAATACACGTGAATGCCAGTCACTGTAGGACCCCGGAGATACCCCAACCTTCCTGGACCTCCGTTTCCTCATCTGTAAAACAGGGAGAGGTCTACAGATTTGCCAGGGAAAGATTAAATGAGATTTCATCACATATATTTGGTGGCAGGCTTGTAGGAGGCCATCAGTAAATGACATCAGCTTTTATTCCTCACTTCTGCCTCCCCTGTGGGGAGTACAATCTCCCCTAAATCCCAGCCTCAATTTTTTAAAATATTTGATTTATTTATTTGCCAGAGAAAGAGCACAGGCAGGGAGAGCAACGGGCAGAGGGAGAAGCAGGCTCCCCGCCGACCAGGGAGCCCGATGCGGGACTCCATCCCAGGACCCTGGGATCATGACCTGAGCCAATGGCAGATGCCTAACGACTGAGCCGCCCAGGCGCCCCTCCCAGACTCCATTTCATCTCTGAGGGTTGGTTTATACACCAGAGGTTTCCCGTGGTGCTAGTCATGCTGTTGGTAGCTTACTACTAATGGTGTTAGTCATGCTGTTGGTAGCTTACTACTCAACTTTGCTTACTACTCCCCCAAACAGTGCTGCAGTGGACATCCAAACACTTCCCTCGTGGTGGGAATCCCATGTTGTGTTGGAGAAACAGGGCCCCTCCTCCCACTCTGAAAGCCCGCCAGCCACAAATTAGGCCTGAGACCCGGGCTTGACCCATCTGATGC